GGAAGAAAAGTTGTGTATGGAGCCCACTCAGGTTGAACTAATATTGCCATCTGTGTATTAGACAAGAATGCTTCTCTCTCGCATTCTCTCCTCTCTCTTCTCCTAATTAGAGGGCAGTGGTGGCCGCAGCCAGGATCTAGCGTGTGTTAAGCTGCAAATTAACATTGGAGCTGATTGTAAAACTCATCTTCCCTGACTCCCATGTGTCAATCTCTGCAAGAGGTGGCAGGCTACCCCCCACCCTTGACCTTCCATGGTAGTCAGACTTAAGACAGGCCCAGGGCCCCAGGGCTGACATAAACTCCCTTCTTTTTGTACCCTGAGTGGCAGCCTGACCATTCTAGACTGCAAATATATCATGCATTTATTTATCCATTCATAAGTGAATACATTTACTAGAGCTAAAATATTTGGGGGACCTGAGCTAATAGGGGGTTAAACTGCATAATAGGCACATGGACTTGTCAGGAACCTTCTTTAACGTTTAGTCCTACACTCTACCAAGAAAAAAGACATAATTATACACAATTAGGACAATGACTAAAAATCTGGGCCAAGTAGACCCACTCTAAGCCCAGTCCCTTGGTGCCTGCTACACAGGTCCCTGAGCTAAGTATAAGTACTGTAAGTCCTATTGCAGCAGGGAATGTTGAACAACTAAATCACACAAAAGCATTCTGAAGGCTCAGAAAATAGCTAGTGTTTGTGTATAAGCCATAGTGCTAATTGCAACTGAATCCCAACTATAAAGAGGGTTCCTTAAGCAGAGTTATGTGGAAACATTTTATTAACCATCAGGTTGAACAGCTATCTGTGTTAGAGAATGGGAGAGTGGTGTTCCTTGAACAATTACTCTGTAACTCAGATGCTTCATGTTCAAAGTTGGTGCTGTGATCATTCAATGCCACTGAGGTCCTGATGAGGTGTGTGCTTTAACCACACTGGGCTTGTGGCTCTTCTTTTCCAGACTTAGGCCTGGGTTTCACAGTCTGTCTGCCCTTTCACTTTTTAATTGTGGGACTCTGGACAAGGTAGTGCTTCTCTATGGACTTAGCTTTCTCTTCTGTGAAATGGGCTTGATAGTGACCTTGACATTTGATGGATTCATGAAATGTCAAACACAGCATCTAATGACTAGTAATGAAAGCTACCATTAAAGCCATTCTCCTCTGTCCCATACCTATTCTAAGTGCCCACTTGGGAAAGACCTGAGGGATCTTCATCATAGACAAGAAGCAAAACAGAGGGAGGTGCGCTTGACCTTGACCTTAAGGTGGATAGATGACATTTTCAGGCATGCAATACTCAAGGCAATTGACATCTCCAGTGATCACCTGGAAGAGAACATTCACATTAACAAAGAAAGTTCTCTGAGTAGTCATCAAGAGAGAGTGTTAATTGCTAAGTGTCTAAGTTGTACATGACACTTTAGAATCTTTATCTCGTTTCCTCTGTATGGAAGTTCAGAGAATTTTTTTAATATTTCAAATTATCTTTAAGTAGTTGGGTACAAAGGGGTTTCAACTCAACATATCAATTTTTTAATGGTGCAAAGGACTTTGATTTTTAAAACTGATCATCAAATGAGATTCAGTGGGCTTGTCTATTAAGAAATTTTAAAGTCAAAAGTAACAGGCCCTTAGAAATACAATTTCATGGTTGATTTTTAACACATTAATATTGTGCTAGAGAATAATCACAAGCATTCTTACATAATGCCTAACCAAAAATAAGGTTCGGAGACGTTCCATAACTTCTCCCAAGGCCTCATAGCCCAAGAAGCTTGCAGAGCAGATTCAAGATGCAAATTCAGGTCTAGAACATGATGCTGTTTTGTTATGCTTGTAATCCTCAAAACCATCCAACAGAGAGGTGAGGAAGCAGTTACAGATTGAGAGAGAGAGAGAGGCGGGGGTGGGGTGGGGAGCAGAACAAATCTGAGATCCAACTGCATATACAAGAAAATATCTGTGAGGCAAGCCCAGACAAACTATGATTCTGGGAACAGAAGAGAGGCCTCCTTCCAAGAGGAAAATGGATCTGAGCTGGCTGGAAGCAGGATAGAACACAGGGTGGGCAAAGGCTGGTGGCCATGCATGGGAAAGATGAAGTTAGTCAGCAGAGTTTCTAGATAGGCAGGGCTAGTATGAAGAGCACACAGGCCATCCTGCTCTTTTCCCTTTGTATGCTGTGGCTCAGGGTCTTGGGCACGTTTGTATCTCTGCCTCCACTCCCAGTAATCCTTGAGTTATGTTTGGAAGGTATAGGTTGTTTTCTCCAAACCAGCACAGTGACTGGCACACAATGAAAGCAATTAAAGACCAACATACTTATTAACTAGGCCGATAATGCCAAAGATCAGAAAGACTAATTAGGAAAGTCTTCTTCCTGTAGGGAGGAATTTGAGTTGTGAAAAATGGATAATGGGATGTGATTTAGTAGAGAGAAGACACACAGCTGATTATACACATGACAATTGCTGTGTGTGTCGGGGCGGGGGGGGGGGGGGGGGGAATGGTTGCACATATTTAGGAAGCATTTCTCATGTGCTTTGTGAAATCTTGTATTTTGGGGGCAAATGTGCCCAGAGTTCAAGTCTTGGCCCTGAAGATTCTAAGTGTGTAATTTGGACACAACACTTAACTTTTGTGAGCTTGTTTCTTTTTCTGTACAAATGGGGGGGGGGAATCAAGGACATATACCTGTCAAGATGGTCAAGAGGTATGGGAGATAACAGGACATCCTATCTAGGTCCTATCGGTGACAAAGTCTGACTACATTTTTGGTACAACCCATACCACATCTACTTTAAAAGCTTGAGTCCTATCAGGGAAACCTCACAGTCAGGGGTCTGGGACCTTTACATTAGCAAAAGCTAGAGGTGGATCAGCTTTTGGCATTTGCCTGCTGGGGATGTCTGTGCTACATGAGCTCCCAGATCGATAAACCATCAATGTCCGGACACACGTTGCCTTTAAGTGCATTAGGACACTGTTCTCCATGGGTCTGGTTTAGCAGGAAGCCAGATGGGAAAAGATGTCAGAGTGGATCTAAAACCCAAGAGAAACATAATCTAAACCTCTTTCACCCTCCATCTTCCCAATCACGTTATCGGAAGGCTAGCATGCTCTGGAGACACCAAGATAGTTCACCCAGGTCAGCTGCTGCCATGCCAGGGGGCTTTGCCCTGGTGTGCCTTGGGTGGACCACTCCACACTTCAGCAACTTTCTTCTTCAGGTCAACTCATCATGGATTTAATAACTTCAATCCCTTTGATCCTTGGCCCAGGGCAAGCAAGCCACATTTGCCCACCTGCTAAGAGGGGCTGACTTCCGGTGGGGTTTGGGGTTGGGGAAAAGCAGTAGGAGGCTGGAAGGCCCAGTCTTTGTTTCGATCTACATCTCCAGCTGTGGCTCCATCTGGCAAATCCTGGGGCAACATGCATACACACACAGAGACACCCCTAGACTGCTGCCAACCCTACCTGGCACCCAGCTGTCTTTCTTTGTTAAACATAGAAACTCCTGACAGCCATATGGGGGTGGGGGCTACTTGTTGCTCTTTCTCTGAGGCTCCAAGGGGACTCTAGGATGTGTGTGTGTGTGTGTGTGTGTGTGTGTGTGTGTGTGTGTGAGGAAGGCCCCTTTGCTGTTTCCCCTGTAATTTTACCTGCCTCTGGGCAGTATTTTCAGCATCTCCCCACTAGAGACCCCCACAGCTGGATCTGCACCGAGCACTCCCCCACCACCACCGCTCTCCCGCCCCCACCCCAACCAATCCCTGGTCCATCCACCTTTCTTTCTGTCGTCCATGGAGGGGCATCAGATCAAGTCCTTACTTGAAAGCGATTGGCTAGCTTTAGAAACAGCCTCTTGCTAACTCCCAGCCTCCTCCCACCCACCCCCCAAATGCTAAAAAAGAAACTTTCTCTAGGTTCCCAGGCCCCCCCCCCCGCCCTCATCAACCCTTTCTGCCTCGCTGTCCTGCCCTTCCCATTCCCCCTCAGCAGAGCCTAGCAGCGGGAGGCGGACCAAGGAACGTGCGCCCCAGGGCCGGGTGTGTGTGCGCGCGCGCGTGCGTGTGCGTGTGCATGTGCGTGTGTGGGGGGGTGTCCCAGTCTTCCAGGGAGGTAGAGGCAGAAAACAGAGCTGATCTGACCGCCCAGCATCCGTCCCCAGAACATCGCCCCCCACCCAAACCCCCCTCCAACACCCCGATCGGATATCCACCTCGCCTCTCCAGGGCGGCACGCTGCTGCCTGCCCTCCTCTCTCCCTGGTCGTGATCTGCAGCCTTCAGCCAGCGTTTGGAATATTTGGAATTCAAGCCCCCATCACCGCACCCCCCCCCACGCCCCAACCCGGGGCCTGGAGAAGGAGGAGGAGGAAGAGGAGGTGGAGGGAGGAAGAGGTGGGGGGACAGAGGGCCATTGACAGCAGCAAGAAGCGGCAAGCAGAACCCCAAAATCTCCCGGGGAGAGAGAGGGGAGCCAGCGGAGCCGAGAAGCTGCTGCGCGCCGCGGTGGGCGGCCCTGCAGTGCATCAGCCCGGGAGGGACCCGGGGCGCGGCGGCTCTCCCTCCCCAGGATGGTTTAACCAGGGGGGACCTTCTGCGCTGGTTAACAGGCTACGAGCTTGAGACTTGTTTTAAGCATTTTCTCCCTGGCTCTCGCTTTTTTTTTTTTTAATTTAAATCTTGTCTCTAGTGGCGTGTGTAGGGAGGGGGTGGGGGTTGGAGGGGGGGAAGGACTTGATTTCCATTGGCTAAGCGCTCCCTTCCCACCCACAATCTTTTTCCACATCACCTTGGTGTCTCCCTAAATAAAACCAGCCCTCCTTATCGCCTGGAAAAAATCAGGAGCTAGAGTTTTGAATGGGTTTTCTTTTTTTTAATGTAAACACTCACCCCTTGTCAGCGTGCTGTTGGAGAGGGGAGAGGAGGTTTGGAGAAGGGCTTGCCTGCTCTCTGAGGAAGACAAACTCACAGCCACACAGCGTCTCTGGCCTGATGCTTGGCGCTGTCTCTCCTGAACGTCAGGGTTTAAGCAGAGCCCGAAGCCTGGGAAGTCTTTCCCTGAAACCTCATCAAACCTGAAGCCAGTTGCAGAACTGCACAGGGTCCCCATGGACCTCAAGGAGAGCCCCAGCGAGGGCAGCCTGCAGCCCTCCAGCTTCCAGATCTTCGCCAATACGTCCACCCTCCACGGCCTCCGCCACATCTTCGTGTATGGGCCGCTGACCATCCGCCGTGTGCTTTGGGCCGTGGCCTTCGTGGGGTCCCTGGGCCTGCTGCTGGTGGAGAGCTCCGAGAGAGTGTCCTACTATTTTTCCTACCAGCATGTCACCAAAGTGGATGAGGTGGTGGCCCAGAGCTTGGTTTTCCCGGCCGTGACCCTCTGTAACCTCAATGGTTTCCGCTTCTCCCGACTCACCACCAATGATCTGTACCATGCTGGAGAGCTGCTGGCCCTGCTGGATGTCAACCTACAGATCCCCGACCCTCATCTCGCCGACCCCATGGTGCTGGAGGCTCTGCGGCAGAAAGCCAACTTCAAACACTACAAACCCAAGCAGTTCAGCATGCTGGAGTTCCTGCACCGCGTGGGCCATGACCTCAAGGATATGATGCTTTACTGCAAGTTTAAGGGACAGGAGTGTGGCCACCAAGACTTCACCACTGTGAGTACTGCGTGGTTTTCAGCTCACCCTTGTGTGTGATCTTCTGGAGGAGAGGTGGGCCCGAGAGTCTTTGGGGCTTGGCTCCAGCTCTCCCTGGGTTCTGGAGCAGGAGAAAGTTCAGAGCCTTCTCTGAAGGCCAAGGGGGCAGCTAGTGAGAAGTTTGTTGGAGCTGGTGGTAGAAAATGCTCCCTGCTAGGCTGCTGCTAGTGGTGTTTCATGCAGACATGTAGGGTGACTAGGGACTGACCATGGGCTCCTCACTTCTTTGGATGTGTTGGTCTCGGTTGTCTGTTGTCCGGGGTGTTTGATGCCCGAAGCTGTATGATTGGAACAGCTTGTCATTGACGTGGTGGCATCTCTCCCTCTCTTTTTCTTTCTTTCTCTCTCTATCTCTCTCCCCCTTCTCTCTCTCTCTTTCTCTCTCTCCACTCCCTCTGTCTCTCTCTCTCTTCTCAGAACTGACACCTGGCACTGTATCCTGTGGGCTGGACTGGAACTAAAGCTATTAGAGAATGGGAGTGTATGGGGACCCGGGAAGCCTGGATGGCTCCAGAGGCTGTAGGGAGCTTGTCAGAGCTTACTGCAAAGGTGTTGAAGGCTCTTGTGTGGATTCTGAGCTTCTGAGGGTTCCCCAGGCTCCATCTGGGTGTTGATGACAGGCTGAGGCCAGGAGCTGTCCAGGGTGCTGGGACAGAGAGGAGGAGAGTCTGGATGGAGGCACTTGTGTGGGATGAGCCAGTTGGATGCCCTGGAGGAGAGGTGGTCTGGTCAGTTTGTCTGGGAGCTTCAGCTGGAAACTCACAGGCTCATTTTTCCTCTCTCTCTCTCTCTCTCTCTGTCTCTCTCTCTCTCTCTTTCTTTCTCTCTGTACAATTGCTTCACAACGTGGATGTGGGAGGGGTGTGTGAGGGAAGGGACAAGCAGCTTAGGACTGGAAAGACTAGAGGGGTGGAGTGTGGAGTTGAGTAAAGGGCAGGGAGGGGTATGTGATTCATGCTCTGGATGGGCTTTGGGGGGGTGGGGCTGGAGGGAAGTTTGGGAGAAGAAATGCTGCTCTCAGGGTTCTTGGGCCAATTAGTGGACTGCTGGGCACAAAGTTAGCATAATAAATGAGATAGCAGCCGCTTATGTCTCTACCATGTCAGGCCGGCCTGGGGCACAAGGGACGGTGGGACTCTCCGCAAGTCTAGTGTAGTTGAGCTTTTCCCTTCTTAGGTGAGAAAGGCGAGCGATCTCAGAGTCTTGAATCAAAATGCAATTACAAGTTTGGGATGGCAGGCACAAAGTTACCAAGGAACTGGATTGTCATAGCACAGGTCTGGGTGTCCTGCCTTGGTAAGACATTCGTCCTCTAGGTTTCCTGTGGTGTATCCTCTCCCACCCCTCCTAAGATTCACCTGCCTTTTGCTCTGATGTTCTCTGAATACTCTAGCCAGGCTCTGTCTGCAGCTTCTGCCCTTGCAGCTGTCTGTCTCTGATTCTAGAAGAGCCCAAAGTGCTGGGGGCACCACCTCTTGGCAGCCTGTGTGCTAGAGCTGTGCTTCCTAAGGGAGTTGTTTTGTATTATCCCTTTTAAACATTCTGAAGAAGAGCACAGGAACATCAGCAACTGTGTTTGCGAAAGAAGACAATCTGCACTGCAGGGAAGGATCAGCCCTCCTACATGGAGCAAATACAGGATTCTAAAACCTGCCATGCACCAACGATGTCTTAGGTGTCCGAGGAAGAGATGGGGAAAGCATCTCATTCTTGGAGGCTGAAACCATTCTCGTATTCCACTCCAGGCTTTCTAGTGCCTGGCAATGTTCAGTTTCACCATGGTGCTGTGCAGCTCAGAAATGCACTCAGCTGGCCTGCCTCTATGCACAGATACTAGAAAGTAGGAGGCACGGAGACTCTAATGGGCAAGGAAACCCAGACCCGGTCTTTGAATATCCTTCTGAGTGTATGTCCAACCGGTGTCTCCCTCTATGTCCTATTTAGAAGTAAATGATTGTTTACCTCCAGCTATTCTTTTGCACTTGGTCCATCATTTGAGTTGCTAGTGTCCCCACAGGCCAAAGATCAGACCTCTAAGACTTACCCAAGCCTTTGATCTCAGAATGTTTCACAGGGCTGGGTACTGGTGGCTCATCTGTAGAATCTAAGGTATCCAGAAAGCTAAAATCTGAGGATCAAGGTTTGAAGTCAGCCTAGGCAGCCAAATCTGAGACACTCTTATTTAATCAACAAAAGGCCAGAACAGAAGTTGTGGCTCAGATGGTATAGTACCAACCTTGAGTGAAAAAGCCGAAAGTTAGAATAGGAGACCCTGAGTTCAAGCCCCAGTACCTGCACAAAAAATCCACCACCACCACAACAAAATATCTCCAAATAGTGAACTTACCTGTGGATTAGATTTATTACTTGATGAAGGACATGGTTTGTTATCTTCTCCGAGTTTAAGATCAATCTATTTGAGGGCCTGTCCTTGGATTGACCTTCTGTGGATGACCTTCTCCAGCATTGAAGAAGGAGTAATCCTCACCACTTCTCTTCCAGCTGCTCATGGATTTCAGAAAGGGCACCTGCTCCAGGAGAGAGGGGGCAAGGAAGCTGGTCTTCACTGGAGGGGTAGTCACACTAAACCTGTAGCAGAGCCAACACAATGCTGTTTGATCAGCATTTCACAGTGAGGAGTAATTCTCTCAACACACCCCAGATCTCCTTGTGTCCTTTGGCCTGAGGTGTAGGTACCCATACTCTTGGGCTCCCACATCAGAATGAAGCAGAAGGCCTGAGCAAGGGGTTGTGGAAAAATCAGTACCCCAGCCTTCTCTCTCATTCAGTCTCTCGGCTACACATCCTTACCAGTGGGCTTGTTTACGAGCTCTGCCTGGGATTGTACTATTCTGGGTACCTTCTTTCTCTTCGTGCTGGTGCTGGCTTAGAGAAACTAATTGTGGGGGAAGGAATCTGGCAAGTAAGTAACATTTTTTTAAAATCTGGGTTTGTTTTTCTATAAAGCAGACCTAGTGGCATCTTCAGGGATAAGGCTTTACCATTAGCCTCCTTATTCCAAGTTCCTAGCTGGTGTGCAATGAAGTGCATAATACCCTTTAATTAGTGAATCAGCCATGACTCTAGCAGAGCAAAAGAAAGCTAAGTATAGAGAGGGAAAGTTTCTAGGAAGCCAAGTGTGGCAAGCATATTGCCAGGTAAACAGGTATGCTCCATGCCCAGACAGGTGCATGCTTCTCCCTTGTCTGGGACAATTTGACTTCAGATAGGCATGCATTTTTGCTTCCTGGGGGAAAAAAGAGAGCTCTATCCCAGGGAATCAAAGATGATTCTCTGAAGTAGAAGAAGACAAGGAGAGCTGGACTGGGATTTACCCTGGCCAGGATGTTGGATGATCTGAGTTCTCTCCTCATTCTTCAGGTCATATATTACATCCTCTTTATATTCCCACTGGCTCATCATCTAACATGTGATTGTCTTAAACAAGTTTCTAATCCATAGAGGAAGAAACTAGTGAGACAAGATAAGCAAAAGTAGCTGGGCACTGGTGGCTCACACTGGTCACCCTTGCTACTCAAGAGGTTGAGATCTGAGGATCACAGTTTGAAGCCAACCTGGGCAGGAAAGTCTATGAGACTCTTATCTCCAAATGATGACCCAAACTTTGGGAGTGGAGCTGTGACTCAAGTGGTAGAGCATCAGCCTTGAGCAAAAACGCTAAGTGAGAGCTCAAGACTGAATTCTAGTCCACTCTAGCTCTTCTTGTTCATGTAGCAAGCCTTAGGATACAGATGTGGGTTCTGAGTCTTCCCCACCTGTGAAGTCTCTAGACTTCAAGTCAAAATGATCCAAGTTGCAACTCATGTAAATTAACTTTTCTTTTCCTGCTATTTCTAGGATGCTCTGTGGTCTTGTAAGCCTTTGACATGTCCCTGGGAAAGGTAGCATTTGTCATACTGGGCAAGAGGTTTCTGGGATGCCAGACTGATTGAGAGTCTCCTAGTTTGTAGAGCCTTAGATCATAAGATTTCTAGAGGCAACTTTCAGCACTTATTTCATTCTTTCTAATGTGATGATGAGCTGGGTAGTGGCTGGAAGCTTTTTTGATGGCTCATGCTGTCTACTTGGAAAGGAAAATGGGAGCCAATGACCAGGCTCTGGCTGAGTAAATGACAGTTGCTCTTTAGGTGAACTTATCTTTCCTTGGGAGTTCTCAGACCTCCAACACTGCTAGTAAAAGATGGCTAACTGGGTGCTGATTGACTTGGGAACTAGCTGATCCCTGACCCTCTGCTAGTGGTTCTTCCCTCTCTAGAGAAAAATCTCTTAAACAAAGAGATAAGCTCTAAATACAGTTTGCTACTGGGGTCTACAGGAAGGGCTGAAATAAGATCTTTCCCCTTAAAGATAAATGTTCTAAGGATGAACTGGTGGCTTTTAGCATTCACTAAATTGGCTGCTCAAGATGTTACTTCATAGAATTGCTCATGTTTCAAAGAAGTTGGGATACCTTCATTCCATCAGACCAAAAACGAAAACAAAATAAAACTAGCAAAAACATCCTAGTTTAGAGCTAGCTGAGTCTGCTGTGTGTTCTTCCTTCCTTCCTTCCTTCCTTCCTTCCTTCCTTCCTTCCTTCCTTCCTTCCTTCCTTCCTTCCTTCCTTCCTTCCTT